AAAATAGATTACTGCAATAAAAGGCAAAGTTAAAGCAAAACAAAAAAAAAGGGGGGAAGGGGATTAGTAATTTGCTTAATTTTGGTGACAATAGGGGGATTTCCAAAACATGCTTACGTAATATTTGAACGGTGCCTATTTAGTAAGACATTAAGTCTAAATGCCTGCAGGATAATTAAAAATTGTTAAAATGATTACTCAGATTGAGTTTGTTTAGACTTATTGCAATAAACTTATAGTAAGCTATTTACAATACAATAAGTCTTCAATTATTTGACTTATTATAAACTGCCTTAAAACAGGCTAATTACGCAATGAAGGATATATTTCTAATTAGCCTAAAAGTATATAGGCTCACTGCAATAACCCGAAATAATGCCTGGCTGATTAAAAAATACTGGTGATGTTTTCAGTTACCCTGGCTAAATGATTACGACTGCTAGCAATTCTTAACGTACTCGAGTAACAATTTCAAGAGAGAGTGGGTTGAAACTAGCTTCTCACATCCGATTATTATTTGACCTCCACTGTTGGTTAGGTATAAATAATTATTTTTTTACTTCAATTAATGAGTGTTTAATTAATGAGTTCATTAGCATAGAAATTGGAAAAAACCTACCTAAAAAACACAACTTAATGAATGTCTTCTTAATAATTATGCTACATGTTCATTGCCAAATAATGTATATTTCTTCTATGTGGGCGCGACCAATGATAGCAACAATACATAACTCATTTCTTGAACAAAATAGAAAATAAGGGCCATTAATAAAACAATATTTCAGAAATGCTATCTTATGTCTGCTTAGTATCACTTCTTAAATTATAAATATTCAATATTTCATTAATTTTCCTAACACTTGAAAGTTAATAAACTATAAATATTAAAAAAAAACTTTTTTTTTCATTTTCGCTTAGCTGTCGAACTGCAAATCTAGTAGATTGTTACCAATTGTGCATTTCATTATACTAGTTATAAATTAACATTTTGACGCGAAGTTGACCGTTTTTTGTAATTTATTCTATGACACGAAATTGTCCGTTTTATTGTAATTTATTCTACTATGCTTTACACTTGAATCTAAGATAAATAGCAATAACTCACAGAAATCCATATGTTTTTAGTCCTGCAGAAGTATTAATTCTGCAAAGTGTTCTATCTGTTTGCTTATGTAAGAAATTTGAATGACTCGCTCTTTTGAGAAAGAAACGTTCGATCATAAATGGGTTTTTGATGTTATTGATCTCGCAAAAAAAGTTCTGAGAAATATTGGATCATTTTTATTATTATGAGTAACCACGCAACTGGTGGTGTTGCATTGATCATGTTTGAAAACAGAATTTATAAGATAAAAAGAAATCATGTTTGAAACATAATAAAAGTTTCCTTATTGTTATGTTTCGAAAATGGACAAAACATGTCATGAGAAGCGTAAATTTAACGCATTTTCAATACATTTAGAAATTATACTTCTAATCCTATTTTATCAGTTTTAAATTTTTAAGGGTATTTTTCAAAGCTCTCACGACAAGAAATATTAAAAAAAAAAAAAAAAAAAAAAAAAAAAAAAAAAAAAAAAAAAAAAAAAAAGCACTGTTTTAAGTGTCAAAACTCAAAGCAAAGCTATAACTTTAAATACCATCTTTCCGAATGGAATAATCTGGGTTTATTTAGAGCGGAATAATACTTTAAACATATAATAAAAGTTATCAAATATTTTTTTTATAAAAAAAATGTCATTTTTACAAGATTTCTTGGTCTGGATGAAAATCATTAAAATCAACGAATGCGTCTCGATTTTTGCAGATTTTTATGAGCCCAGACAATTCAGCTAAGCCATGATGCTAGTGGGCCGTAAAACTAACATGTCTTTATTTTATAGAGAAAAATGAGTATAAGTCAAATGCATTTTTTTATTTGGCAAGGAAAATTGAAAAGTTTATTTTTATTACATTGGCGCCATTCTGAGAAATACTCTTCATGGGCTCCACATTTTTGAGCTGAAAAACTTTTACCATGAAATGCGATAATTTTCATTATAAACCAATTTAAAAAAAATCTATCGGATGGACTGAGGGGCTCCGGGAAGCTCCTGAAACCTTAACCATCACTCCAAATTCAAGTTACAAGTGAATGTGTACTTGCTAAACGACGTTAGGAGCATGGGAAGCATCCAGAAATTGGATTTCTGACAAGTCATCGATAAATAATGCACCGGGGAAAAAAATTCCCCATTTTAAACATTAAATATTTAAATAATCTGGTCACAAATTAATCACCAAAAAAAAATATTAGAATTTGATATAACCTTGTAACTAAAACATTTGTGTGGTAAAAGAAGAAGCAGCTTCAAGAAAGTAAAGTTAAAACAAAAAATAAAATAGATAATGTTATTTGTTTTGTCGCTAGACGTGTCTCTGAATGCATAAAGTTATACACATGCAGTGAATAAAAAATATGCCGTTACATTGATTGTTAAGAAAAGAATTACGACCAAGTTTACAAATATTAAAAGATTAAATCTCAAACGTTTTTCATGTTTGCAAAACTGTGGCTGATTTTCAAACTGAAATTTTGCGCCATTTTCTTTCATTAAAGACATAGAGAGCCCTGGCCAAAGATAGGCAAAATGTAACCTAACCATCATGAATTATAAACTCATAACAGCTATAAGAGTGGCATATTATCGCTGATAAGTGATATTTTATGTGAGGACAAAGCCTTCGAAATAGTCATCAAAATACAGTTAAAATGATATTTCGAATATAATTTGTGAGTGTGTTGTTGACAGAAGTATCTTTCATTGTTTTCGTTTGTTGGACTACGTCTAATTCTTTTCCTGTATCTAAATTGCTATTTTCATAGTTGATTAGAATACGATACAATAATCAATTTATAAAACCTGTTAGATTTGTAGTATCGTAAACGTTTCGTCAATTTTTAGAAAGATTATTTGAGTAGCCCAAGTGCAATTCCTGTTAACTGCTTTCCTGACGAAATTCGATTTGTTTCATATCGTAACTTAGCCCCGACCCGCCCAATTACTGAAGGTCAATTACAAATTACTATTTGATTGCACTGAACGTGATGTACTGATGTAACGACTATCTTCGATAGTATAGCGATGAATACAATAGCGATAAATAGAAGTGTCGGTATATGTATTGTAATAGTAAAGAAATTAAGGTTATACATAATTTCCTTGTTATATACAGAATATAAGTTGAGGATTATATGTTACAGATAAGAAGACGTATCTTACATTTTATTTTAAGATCATTGAAAGAAACTCATTTTAAATTGGTAAATTCAAATAAAAATTTATAAATGTTCACAAGATTGATTGTTCATTGAGGGTCTGGCTACTCAACAAATTTATTAGGCATTCAGTTTGTTATTGAAGGAGTTTAAAGCGTTTAATTCATCATTAAAGAGAGTTAAAAAAATTTGATGTATTTAGATCCTAACTAGTTGGTTTGATAGTCAGTATACATTTAATAGTCAGTATTCATTTAATAGTCAGTATTTAGATCCTAACTAGTTGGTTTTGATAGTCAGTATACATTTAATAGTCTGTATTTAGATCCTAACTAGTTGGTTTTGATAGTCAGTATACATTTAATAGTCAGTATTTAGATCCTAACTAGTTGATTTTGATAGTCAGTATACGTTTAATAGTCAGTATTTAAATCCTAACTAGTTGGTTTTGATAGTCAATATACATTTAATAGTCAGCATTTAGATCCTAACTAGTTGGTTTTGATAGTCAGCATACATTTAGTAGTCAGTATTTAGATCCTAACTAGTTGGTTTTGATAGTCAGTATACATTTAATAGTCAGTATTTAGATCCTAACTAGTAGTTGGTTTTGATAGTCAGTGTGGAAGTAGTGCAAGTATTTGTCCTGGTCCGAGGTCATGTAGCAAACAGCTCTGTTGAGGCATGTAGGTTCTGTCGGTTCAGAGTTTTAACGGATGTAGAAGGCGATGTTGATAATGATGATACCGCCTTCCTCATTAATGATTTGTCGAATTTTGATAATTGCTTTTCTTTCCTTTATCCTCTCTAAAATTTCGATCACTGTATAAAAAAACTTGTTCCCAAGGACTTTACTAAAATTTTATTTTTAATGATTTGAAATATCTCGTTAATTAAAATTGATAATGGTAATCTTAATCAAAATTGAAACAATATATTCATAATTGACCAGATTTCAAAAATATGAACGACTTGTTTTTAATGTTACATTGAAATTCTTGTTTATTTGAAAACAATTCCTAGTTGATAATTATAAATGTTTATTGGTAAATATTGAAAAAAAAGTTCACCTTTAATTCAAGGTCCAAATTCGGATTCTTGATCTGGCAGAGAAATTTTATGCTTCACAAAAGCTAAGTTATACAAGGTGTTTCGCAAAGACCACTCTTAATAGGCATTTTTAGAATCCTTATAAAAATTAAAAATAAAAAAGTATGCGCATAGAGGGTCACAAATTAATATTTAACCAAGGAGAAATAGAAACTCTACCAAAATCTGATGAATTACAATACAGGAAGCTGATATAATGAGCAATAAGCCATGTTTGAAAGTGGAAGGAGACAGAAGCAAAAAGATAATTGTTAGAAAAACCTTTAAGTTTCAACCTCCAATTAAACTTGTTTTGATTTTTATTACATTCGTCTTCCTCTACTTTAACTTTTTAGATTTCGATTACGTTTTTGTGTTTTCCTCGTGACATCTTATGTGCATACTATTTTGTTTTCACGTTTGGTAAGGATTCTAAAAATACTTATTAATGTATGGAACACTATTTTTCAGTGCTTGGTGAAAAATAAGCTATTTTATCGTCTAAAATTACTACTATTAAGGCTCAATTGTTTCATATGTTCACTACTCAATTGTTTCATATTGATTTTTACTTATAATTTTGTTCCGTATGAAATATGTTTTGTATATATAAACATTAATTATTCCAATAATAAGTAATTTTCTTTTCCAGAAACCTACCAGTCCCATTGGAGTAGAAACCATCCTAAAAGTAAGTTGCATATTTGAAATAATTATCAATAGCTGTAGTACTATATTACTGAAGAGAAAAGTAAATATATTATTTTTTAAAAATTTAAAAATCATTAATATATATATATATTATTCACGTATGTATAGAATCGAATTTACAAATGTAAAGTTTGGAAATATTTAATATCTTTTCATAAAATTTTTTTAAAAAATGTGTTGCCCATAAAGAAATAAAAAAAATATTAAAAAATAAAATATAAATGAAAAAAAAAAACGCTTTGAATAACTTATAGTCTAATGAACGGAATCAATCTACGTAGCCTGAAAAAGTAACTTTTAATATTATTAATTGATGATACGACGTATTTTACTGAATGCTCTTGCATCTTTAAACAGATTAAAATTTAACTCCCCTAAAAATTAAAAAATGGATGAAAAAAATATAACGCTACAAATTGCATCAATAATTATTTTGCTAAATCAAAAACTCTACTATTATTTTCGAATAATGTTTTTTTCATGTATGTAAAATACAAGTTTTTTTTTTAAAAAAAAATCTGCTTTTGTTATGAGAAATACATGTTTGCCAGTGTGTGAAATGCTATGCGGAAATTTTTAAATGTTGTGACGCAGAAATTTTTGACGTTTCCGGATATTTTATAGTTTATACGAGGAAATAAAAAAAGAGAATGTGATCTATGTATAAAAACTTTTAAAAAGTCAATGTTTAAAACACTTTTTTATTCTATGTTTAATAATATTTTAAAACAAGCGTTTTAAATTAGTATTTTTTAGCAAATATTTTGCCAGCCCGAGGAAGTGTTTTGAGAAACTTGTGACATTCCCATATATTCTCTAGCTTGCCACGAGAGTTAAAAAAAAAAATTAAAAAAAAAATCAAAAGTTANAAAAAAAAAAAAAAAAAAAAAAAAAAAAAAAAAAAAAAAAAAAAAAAAAAACATGTATACAAGTAAAGAAATGTTTAAAAAAATGCTAAAAGCACTTTTTTTATTTAATATTTTATCTACCTTCAAAGCAAAGATTTTAAGCATTGCTTTAAACCTAACAAATATGGCTTATAAAAATAAAACTACGGTAGTTTAAAAATGGAATAAAACGTTTTGTGATTGTTTTTTTCCCTTGGAAAAAAAAATCCCTCATGGAATATTTTTCCCTTTGGAAAAAAAAAATCCCTCATGGAATATTTTTTCTTTTGAAAAAAAAAAAAAAAATCCCTCATGGGATATTTTTTCTTTTGAAAAAAAAGAAATCCCTCATGGAATATTTTTTCTTTTGAAAAAAAAGAAATCCCTCATGGAATATTTTTTCCTTTGGAAAAAAAAAATTCCTCATGGAATATTTTTTCCTTTGAAAAAAAAATCCCTCATGGGATATTTTTCCCTACTCACTCATTTCTTGGCGTGTACCATAGATAGCCTAATACCCAAATGAGTGAAATAACGCAGCTCTGAATTACATGACAAGCAAACATTTCTTGCTATATGCTTATTTATTTACCTCTTAAGTTAGACTATCACATATCTTCCTACAAAGTATTTACTTTTTCTTCTTCTTAATAACTGTTTTTGCTACTTAGAGCTAAGAAACAGCGACCTATAGCATAAGACTGTTGTCCCGATTTTTCTCATTGGGTAATAATCAGAGCGAATCGCATCCTTTTTCGTTAAACTGATTCAAAAGTCATGAGGAAAGATTGCCTCGGCCTGTTGATTTTCAATCCTATTTTAAAGAATGGCTTATTATTATTTTCTTCACTCTTTCATTTGGTTTATTTTTAAATACCTTGCCTCTTAAAAATATCGATTACAGCATTTTTAAATTTGTTTCAATATCCATCGAGCAATTAACACGTTGAATGCCACGCTAATTTTACATGGCTTGCCCGTCTGGCCACAATGGTAAATAACTACAAACTAGATTTGCATAGACAAATCGCGCTACATATGAGGCTTTTTAAAATTTAGACTATCATAATTTTTAAATTTGTTTTTACAGTTTTTTTTTTATTATGTTTTTTGCATGACTGCGGGTTAAAACAAAAAAGTAAAATTCATCCCAACAATGATTTAAAAAATGCATGAAATTTCAAAAGTCAACTCTAAACTTACGTTTTTGGAGCAAAAACACGGTCGTTTTATTTTAATCCCTAGTGTAATTATTAATTTTCAATCCTTATAGATCGTTTTAAATTTTTACTTTATAAATTTTTAAAGAATCCTTATAGATCGTTTTAAATTTTTACTTTATAAATTTTTAAAGAATAATTGACAGAAATTTTCATTCAAAGAAGATATTCTAGATATCAATCATCTTAGAAGTTTAGACTTAAAATATGTATCCTCCCCCCCCCCCCTCCAAAAAAAAACTACACTTTTTTTACTTTTGGTTATTGCTATGCAAAATTTCTAAATTATGCATTAATTTAATCAAAACATGTTTCGCTTTATTTAGTTAAATGGCAATGATTGTTATATTGCATGCAGCTAATTTACGCTGTTACCCATTTCACATTTTCTTTATTAAACCATAGTTATTAGATTAATTTTCTAGCTTCTTGAATGGATCAATAAGTCTTTGACCCTATGAGTTAAGACAAGACTGAGCTTGTTTCGCATCTGCGATACAGTTCCAGTTAATTTATTAAGATATTACTTGAATAGAAAATGTGTAGTTTCTTTTGTTGAGAAAAGTCTTGTTTCCATTTTCAGATTTCAATCTAATTTGCAAACATTATTCTGTTTTTAATTTTCGTTTGAGGAATAAGTCATTTTGAAACGACTTTTTACACAAACTTTAAACCTAAAACAGAAATATATTGAAAACTTTAACCATAACTACACTGTAAAACGTTTTGGTGTATTGTTGCCACTATTTTCGGTGTTTAGGCAAACTAAATACATTTTTAAGTACAGAACTGCAGTTATCATGTATAAAGTATTATAGAATCGACAAAATAACTATAGTAAATTATTAATTGTTTGAAAGAATTAGTGCGAATATATTACTAAAAATGTTCTTGTTTTTTAAACGAAATGTTTTTGTGATGAAGCCATTAACTTGATTCTAATACGCGTGACAATATGTGTTGTCAGTAAACAAATAAATAAATAAATAAATAAAGCTTTAACATTGAAAAAGTAAATAAAAAATGTGACTACATGCACTATAAAAAATTAGTCTAGGTCAACACTAAAAATGCGAGCAAACTATACGTCAAGATGTTTTACGGTGTAGTTTAAAAAAGCAAATATGGTGTATATAGTAGCGTGTAAAATTTCTTTGTGTTTGATTAAATAGAATTTTATAAGACTGTGCCAAAAGATGAAAACGAATTCTGATATGCAAATGATATTTTTTGAAATATTTGAAAAATTTATTGATTTATTTTCTTAAAATATTGAATCCGTAGAAGTTTTAAAAGTTATTATCACAAGTTTTGTTTTTAAATGATATTTTGCTGTAAAATAATGATCCTTTATCATGCGAAGGATAAGGACACTGTACAGCTAGAGAAACGATTCATGACAAATTATATAGTATAGCTTAGCAATGACAAAGTTTTGGTTTCTGTCATTGTTGTGTTTATCTTCATATAAAGTTTTTAAACAAATTAAAAAATTGATATAAGTATTATGATTGATACAATTAACATCACAGGATTAATAAGTGCCATATCCTTAAGAAGAGTCCTTACTGCGGGAGAAACGCTTAATGGAAAATTTTGTCTTACCTACATTAGTAATTTAAAATTAAAGGTATAAAAAATTAAGTTTAGGTAAACCAAGAATAAACAATACAGAATAGAACTGTTGAGTTAGTTTTTTTTAATTGCTAAAAGGCGAAGAAATCATGGCATAGACAATTCTGAATATTTCTCCCATATTTTGTTAGCATTTTGATGCTTTGAAGAAAAAAAACTTTTTTTTAAAAATTATATAGTTTATTTTCGGCTAAACTCACTTTTTTATTCTTTAAATTACTAATGTATGTAAAGCAGAAATTGCTATGAAGCGTTTCTCCCGCGGTAAGGACATGTCAGTACGGATTCTTTTCGAGAACATGGTGCTTATTATTCTGTGATGTTAATTGTATCAATCACATGTCAGTACGGATTCTTCTCGAGGACATGGTGCTTATTATTCTGTGATGTTAATTTTATCAATCACATGTCAGTACGGATTCTTCTCGAGGACATGGTGCTTATTATTCTGTGATATTAATTGCATCAATCACATGTCAGTGCGGATTCTTTTCGAGGACATGGTGTTTATTATTCTGCGATGTTAATTGTATCAATCACATGCCAGTACGGATTCTTCTCGAGGACATGCTGCTTATTATTCTGTGATGTTAATTGTATCAATCGTCATACTTTTCTCCGTTTAAAATTTTTTTTTAAAATTTTATCTGTACATAAAGACAAGAATGACAGAAACCAAAACTTAGTCATTGTTAAGCTAATGTATAATTCAACACTTCTCCCATCTGAAGTTCTTTCAATTCAATATGACGGCGCCATTTATTAAAACAGCGCCTTCTGTTCCTGTCTTTCTCACCGAATCGACCTAATGCGTTAATAATGACCAGTGCTATCTCTATTTCCTGTGCAGTTTTCATGAGGATTCGGTGAGAAGAGCTTTCAATTTATTTGAGTGTTGGAGCCGTTTGAAACTCTCTTGAAGACTCTAGAAATAGTGTTTACATACTCTTTTCTGACTCATTTTGTCCTAGAACACTGATATGTTAGAAGAAGTAATATTCCCTGAAGCTTGTTGGAAGCACGTTTTAGTTGTATATCAACAAGATGAGTAAAATCGTCCCAGCAGGTCTAGACGAAAATCATTTTAACGACGACAGATATCTGGCACCACCAAATGAAAGTGCTAGATTGGAAAACGAGGAAGAAAATAAAGTCGACAACATTATTCATATAAATGAAGGAGAATTCAAACAAAGCAACATTTATCTGGATTAAATCCAACTTGCTGTTATTTTGAA